AGTGAATAAATGTAATAAAATAGCTCTTTTGAAATCTACACTGTTTTAAACTGCGACTGACCACAAAGTATTGATATTTTTGCTTGTATTTCTTTAGAGGTTCGAAATTCCTGATGCTAAATGCTTATGCGATATCTTCAACTGTTTAGACGATATAAACTGTTTAAATATCCAGGCCTTTCCAAGGGGCAAAATCCTCCTCGGTTTGCCAACAAGTCGGTTTATTAAAAGTTTTTTTGAAGAAATCGTTAGAAGAAAGATGCTTTCAGTCGTTTCAAATCTGAATCGAGCAAAAGAAATTTGCAAAAATTAGGCAAAAGATGGCCTAAAGAGCAGCTGAAAGAAACTGAAATGAAGAAACTGAAAATAAACTGAAGTTTTTCTCGTTAAGAATTTGTCCAAAAAAAGCCCTCCACTTGCGCTGTATGCTCATTGATAACACGTGCACTAATGAGCATCTACGTGCAACACTTCGTATTGTTGTAAACGTGAAAGAATACAAAGAATCAATTTGACCCGTTTGTTTTTCGTTTACGTTGTACACATGAAGATAATACCAAATTTTTCAAGCCTTACGGCATATTTTCGACTCTTCATATTAAGCAATTGAGGAACTGTTCATGTCATTGTGTTATTCAAGTTTACGTAATTAGAGAGCAAACTTCAAATTTCATCAGATATTAGCATTGTATTCAGCGAGTCATTCCAAATATTTTAATATCTAAGTAATCATTAGCGCAAACCGTATCTAAGCTAAGTTTAAGTAACATTGCCGGTGTGTGTCAATTAATAAGCACATTTATCGAGTAAGTTGTTTGCTAATTCTTTCACCAGTTTTTCCTTTTTATTTTCATCGAATCTCCTTTTTTTTAATTCCGTTCATAAAAGGAATTTTCAAAGTTATCATTCAAGTAGTTGATGAAATGATTAATGTGCAAGTCAAGAATAGTGTTTTGAATGTGATTAAGCTGCAGCCATAAGTAATGGATCGGACACCCATGTGGCGGCTTTATCTTATCACATTCAAAACCCTGATTATTTTATTGAGTGATTAACGCGTTTAATCGCGATTAGAACTACCAGCCCTAAATACATGACAAAGTGCAGTTGATATGTGTGATTTATTTGTTGGGCAATTAATATTACTGAACGTGTTTATGGACGGAAAAATGTACAGAGGCATCAGGGTTTCAAGAGGACTAAACCACGTATTTTGGTGATTTTGTTATATTTTTCATTGAAATTTATAGAATGATGTCTTGATTTTTCCCATTCTCCCTTCGGATAAATTATCAAAAAGCCTGAAAATACTAATATGAAGTTGGCGAAGCTCAAACTAATATAAAATTAATGCAAAAGTTGGGAGTAAATGAAATTATGCCAAAAAAACGTGATGTTGATCAAAAATTTGGTTGTTTTTTTCCGAAGAAAATCCGGTTTGAAACTGGTGAGTTTCCCGTGTCAATTTTAAATGAGACCAGGTATTTGGTTTATCAACTCATAATTAATAGCCAATAAATATATAAGCTTGTGGCGATTTTTCCAAAAACCCATAAAACTTCAAAGTGAACATCGTTAAAGCGGATCTCAAATGCATGGCTGTGGGTCGATGTTGATTTTTGCAAAACCTGCCGTTTACTTAACAATTGTTACATATGTTTATTTATGAAGAATAAGATTAGAGCGTGGTAAACAGTCATTATTCAGCAAGTTAACGCTTTCGAAACTTGTCATCTGCAGTCAACATTTCTCCTCTACGTACCGACATGAATGGCTAACATATAGAGAGATTGAAAGTAGAATAACTGCAATTTGAATCTTCAATTGATCAATTAACTAATCATAAAGCAAATCTTTGCAAAATAATTTCCCGTTATTCGTACAAACTTGCCGTTGTTTGTTTTAGCTTAAATTTAGCAAACTTACGCACGTGCACTCGAAATTGTGTGATGACTAAATAGATCCTCTCTAAATTTTCGTTGGAAACAACCTTTCAATTAAAACAATCAAAAGTGCCAGTTCATCTAAAAGCCTTTTCGAAACCAATAAATATGAATGTCGCGTAACGTTTAAATCTACGTAATTAAGAAAATGCACGTCATTGAAAATCCATTCGAATATCATCATATCAGTTCATTGATACGGATAATTCAATAATCGAATTCCATCGTGAATGATTCGTTCGTTGCATTTTGATGTTCCACTGAATGTTGAACATCTGTTGCCGAAGATGCGCTTAGAATTTTTATTATTGTAGATGGTTTCGCATTTCGCAGCTTAACAAAGCAAACATTAGTGTCTTTATTCAGTACATTTGAGTTTAATAAAGAAGGATTATTAAATGTAATCTAACTTTTGCAATTTTCATCAATTTCAATGTTTGCTGTTCAACAGATAGATGTATTTTTGATATTTTGTCATGAATAATTAGCAACAGTCGTTTTTCTGTGCAGGTTTACAGCTAGTTTCTGGTATCTCTACCAACAGGTTTTAAGCAGGAATTATGTAGTTAAAGTTTTAATCTAAGTTAAGTCAAATGAGTCTATGCTTTGTAGCAATAAGTCTACCTACTAAGTTAAGTCAAATGAGTCTATGCTTTGTAGCAATAAGTCTACATTTACAGGGTTTTTTTGAAATTATGTTTTGAGGATGTAAGTTCTTTTGGAAAATGGTATTGGGAAAACATTGAAAATCTGTGCCTCAAAGGCTTTCCGGTAATTTTTTTGCAAAGATTAAAAATATAGGAGGAAACGCATCAAGTTATGTTTTTAGTCCTTGCAGAAAAAGTTGTAGTAGAAAATGAAAATTTTGTGAGAGCTTGAAAAAATTCGGCAAAAATCGAGGAAAACTGGCATTGAAACGACAATTACAAAGCAGCTGGAGGAAAGTTTATTTGATATAACGAATGAAAATTCAACTCCTTGCACTTCACAAATTGCTAAAATAATTGATAAAAATATAACATTAAAACGAAATATATTTACTTCTACTTAAGTAGGAAAAAATTCGAAATGGGTCTTCATTGACAAAACTATTTTTTAAATAAAGCATAATTGTTGAAGAGTTTGCCATATTTCGAGGTTTACAATGTGACTTGTCTTAACTTAAAAAAATATATATGCACAGAAGAACGTTTAATTTTCATTCAAAAATTCAGCAAAATGCGCGAAAAACAAACAAGTGATCAATGCAAGACAGAAACCGAAAAACGTTTGGTTTATAATGATCGAGCGGACAACTCTATTCATTCAACAGTTAACTAACAAATTTAAAGAGTCAAAAATTAAAATCTGCACAAAATGCATAAAATCGAAGAAAATAGTAATTGAAATTAAAATTGCAGGACAGAAAGAGCACAGTTTTCTATATTTAATTTAACCAGAATTGTATTTTATTAAATTTAATTTTTGAGGTCTATTAATAAATGAACGTGCCCAACTTTCCGTTTTTTTTTCCTAAAATCGCGAAAACTGGCAAAAAAAATTTAATTGCAAAAAGAGTATTGATCTCTCTTATATTTTCTATTAATAATAACTTCTCGTAACTTAACGCGCTCTCAAAAGTCCAATTTTTAAGGAGATGTTTTCAAATTAATATTTGAATAATTTACCAAAAATTGACGGATTTTTGGATATAACTTTTCGTTTATTTAAAGTAATTATTTAGAAGTAAAACAAAATAAGTCAAAATTTTCAAGAGATCGAAGATTCTCAACAAGAAAAAAAGAAGACAATGAAAAAGCTTTAACATATCATGAACCGCAGTGAATTTCTACATACTTATTTTATAAATGTGGCCATAAAATTTGATATAAACTATTGTTTGACAAAGCAAAATATACAGGGTGTTAAATTAAAATAAACCAAATTGATGCCATTTTTCGGTTTAACCGGAAGTGTTAGCAACTTGAAAGTATTTAAGTGGAATCGAATATGTTCAGTCACTTTTAGGTGTAGAAATTTTTTGATATTCACTTTTTGTAGTACTCCATATAAAGTTCATAAGAGACTTATCGACCTCCTTGTATAATCTGAAATTTAGACTGGACAATTTTGATAAATCACTTTTTAACAAAGCATAAATAATGAAAAGTTCATTATGCACTGTTTAGAAGATTAAAATGCATATTCTCACATCATGGAAATGTTGACTAGTTAACTTTTGGAAAAATATGTCCACAGGAGAACGTAACTTTCTGTCCACAGAAAGCGAAAAACATTTGTTTATAATGATCGAACGGACAACTCTATTCGTTTAAAATACAAAAAATAAATATTTAATTGGAGAAACAAAATAAAATTTGAAGTGTAAACAGAGCAAAAACCCAATTTGCATGTGATTTTTGCAGTTGTTTTCAAGCAGTCGATGAAAATCGACGAAAATAGTCTAAAATAAAAACTCGAGGACAGATAAAATACAGTTTTTTAAATATTTAATTGCTTAGAAGTCAACTTTTTAAACCGCCAAAAATTTGCATTATTAAATTTCAAATTTTATTTTAAATTTACAAAAATTGTCGAATTTTCAGATCATCTCATCAGCATTTGTTAAAAATAAATTATTTAGCAAAAAAATTAAAAATTAATCGAAACTGAAGAAACCGATTAAAAGAAAAATTAATGAAATAAAGTTGCACAATATCTGTTGTTGGTCTAAAAAAATCCACACAAATCGGCCTAATCAGGATACAAATTCATAACACAATTATCGAGAAATTTGCCCATTAATTAGAAAAATCAAGAAAAAAATCAGATTGATTCAGATCAGGAAATTTTGCAGGTCGCCACGCCATCTCCGAGCAAATAACTAGTTTCAAACAAAGTTGTGTTTAATGCTCATTCTGTCGTCTGTTGAGTCTTCACAGGAGCATTTAATGAAGTTTGCAGGAATTGGAGATTCTTGCGCTTAGTGCAACATGCGGCACATAGATGCCGCCTCTATGATACCACAGCAGGAAAATGATCGTTTCTCTTTTTTCCTCCCATATGCTGCCTTGCTCTAACTCAGCTGTGATCATTTGTTTTCTTTCAGGAACAGTGCGGTCGTGCAGTAGTTGACAAGAAAATCGAAAGCTTGCTCTTGTCAAAAAAGCAACTTAGAAAAGTTGATTTTTTCTCAGTGAAAATCCGTCCAAGCTTCGCGGAAAATTGCGTTTTATTTGCTGCTGAAAATCGACATTCAATTCCGGTCAGTTATTCATGACTTTTCCTAGTGGAAAATGTGCTTTTAGGGCGTTATTCAGCAGGAAATTTGGATTTTTCCGTGGGAGTAAATTGCACTCGACGTTCTGGCAGGATAATAGGTAAAGCCTGTTTTGGGGCATGTGTTTTTGCAATTTTTAAGCCAATTTTATCTAGGATTTTATTGAGTCGTTTTACTGCCTGTTGCTTCCAGAAATGTATATCCAAGGTTAGCAAAGGCCTAAAGACACTTTCTACCAATATGTTTTTTGTAGATAATTGTTTTTATACTTTGCTCACAGTCCTTTTCAAGTAACAATTTACTCGATGAAGACAATTACAGCAGAAGTGGCAAAAATCGATTTATTTAAATTAAAAACAGAAATTTAATTGATTCCTTTCCTCTTCATTTACTTGAATTTCTAGATCTTCTTGCCATCTGATCCGCGTTTAAGTGTAGCTGCTATTTTTAGAGGATCAACAATGCTGCATGCTGTTGCCAAGTAGTTGAATAAATAGTTCATAAGTTATAAGCTAACGAAAAATAAATGAGGCCACTGCATAATCTGGAAAATCGAAATCAAGCAAAAAGTTCAATTTTTTTCAATTTTTACTTTTCAAGCGGTGAAAACCACACTTGAAATTTAAAAAACTGTCCATTTTTTTTGCTAGCTTATGACTTAAGTCCTTATTAACTATTTATTCCACTAGTGGTAGCAATATAACATTGTTGATCATAATCATCATCTATAACTGCGGAGGTTTTCATTAAATGTCGAGTATATTCTTTAAGAGCAAAATCATTCCTAAAGAGGATACATGGAAGAACTACTTCCTTGTATCAAGCTGATGTCGCTCTTGTGCTTTTCCATTCTTCTTCAATCGCTTCCGACCCTCACTTAAGTCAAAATCTTCATGTTTTCTCAGTGTAATGATTATTGCTCTTCCTTTTCCTTAAAACCCACAGTATTTTTCTTAATAGAGGCGATTTTGTTGTTAACATTATTTTCGGTTCAAAAGACAGAGGCGTCGTGAAATTACCAGGTCAAGCACCGATTGAAGTGGGCGACTTGAGCAGAACTATGTCCACTTACGCATGTTTAATCTATAATTTAATTTTTATACACACAACCTCTCCGTAGAAAATATGGAACAGTATTTGTGCAATCCCAATAACAATTAATGTCGAGTGGAATTTAAAGGAAGTTGTTTCGTAACAAAGTCGCTTTCTGATCTTTATGGTCATTGATAAAAATGACTTTAATTGCCGATTTACCGCGACTTAAAAGGCCATAATTTATACGATTTAGTTCCTGTATTTTATTGGGATTGGTCTCAGAATGGGGAAATGCGTGTGTTTAACCACAGACTAATTTCTTCTGGAAGTATCCTTTACACTCATTAGAAACGAAATAAATTCAGCTAAGTACAATCAAATATTCTTAACGATTATGGCTGAAAATCGTACATTTCAACCAACTGCTTTCACGTGTGTATATTCAGAGAATTTTTTTTGTTAATTTATTCATGTCAAATTACAAAGGAACATCAGCCAAGGAGGTTCCGTGAGAAAGTTTGTAATATCTATTAGAACAGTACGAGTTTGCCCAGCAAAGTACATACATGCTATAAAAGCTAAACTAAACCGGTCGTTTGATACGACAAGAAATGCTGAAAAACGTACGTGATTCGGGACGGTGTTCCTAATAAGCGCACCAATAGTTAAAGCTTGAAAAAATGAATACACTCAACGATTTAAAAAATTGCTATTCAATTTCGGGAAGACTTTTGAAAACTTTATGAAAAAAGTATTTGCAGATCTAATTTTTTATTAAAATAAATTAATAGAGTTTTGGCCTTGCGGTTATCATCAGGGCTTCTAAAAAAACAAGTACATGGTCAGAAGCGCAAAACGAGGAGTTCACAACAGTCAAAGTAAACTAAACAAAAAATCCATTGTTTAATCGTGAATTTTTGGACGGAGAATCACACAATCAGGGTCTCGATATGTTTTTTCCTTTTTGGGTTTTCTGCACATGAGTATTTTACGATCTTTCTGTCGCGAATTAAGGGGAAAAACCTTGCTTGTTCTCTCTTCAATGCTCGGTTCTGTGCAAGTGCCTGGACAATGAAGAGATTCCGAAGATTCAAGTTTGATATTATTTTTTTGTTTTACCATTTGATATACAAAGCAGACCAATTTTGTTTTGTTGATGTGATCCTTCTTTTCTCTATTGTTCATACATATTTTTATTTTTATTTGGTATTGCCAATTTGCTTGTAATGCAAATAGTGACAATAAGCAAAGCGATTTTTTAAAACTTCAGAAGATTTTAAAAACTAGTTTAAAGAAATTTCTCGTCACTATGAAAAATAAACGCTCTAATTTTTTTAAAGCAATTTACCAAAATTGCAGAATACGACGTTAATTTCTCATTTCATCCGAGTTTTAACGTAATAATAAAAATCAACACTCCAACTAAAAGGAGCAAAATGTCTCTTGATTTAGAAAAACCAAAAAACCCTCAAATTTCCCAGGTTTTCAAGGCGATTTTACCAGTCTAAACGCAGTCCAAGGAGACCTTTTCTCAAAAATCCCATGGAGTTTGATTTTTTCAATGGCATCAAAAATAAGAAAGTTATGTCTAAAATTGCAACTCAAAGCGCTGATATCTCCCAGGATTCTAAAGCGTTTTTTTTTGGTGAAAAAAGAGTCTTACAGGAAATTTTTTTAGCAATTCAATGGCGTTTGGTATTTTTAAGTTGCACTAAAACTTGCAAAGTTGCGTCCAATTTTCAATTCGAAACGCTCATATTTTGCAGGTTCCTAACGCAATTTTTCCTTTCAAAAAGAGGTCGTTTGGTTTTTTTTTTGATAAATACAGTGGCGTTTTACTTTTTTCAATAGAACCGAAACTAACAAAGTTGTGATCAAAAAGCTCAAAACGCTGATATCTAAGGTTCCTCACGCAATTTTGCGGACAAAATAATGATAATAGAAAATTGCCCGCTGTAAACACAGTCTTATAGGAAAATTCCTCAGGAATCCAATCGTGCTTAGTATTTTTCAATAGCATTCAAACCAAAGAAGTTGCGCCAAATTCACTACTTACATGAAAGAAACTCTGGTAGTTTGCAAGTCAATTTATCCGATAAAAAAACAAATAAAAAATTCTGGCAATTTTTTAGTCTTCCATCTCGCACTCTTTATCAAAAGTGTGCAGACTTTGTTTCAAAAATTCACCCTTTAAAGCTGTAAACAGATAAAGTTTTGAAATTCCTGCAAAATTTAAAGCAATTCATTGCTCGATTGAATAAGCCAAATAGAAAAATTCGCTTTGCGCAAGAGTGATTTTATAAATTTTGTGAAATTCGCGTCTCAAAAATTTCGCTTTTTCAAAAGTTCGCCCTTAAAAGCCCCGAGCAGGCTAAAGACGGCAGACATCAGAATCTCCATCAGTCTTAACAGCGATTTTTAGAAAGTTGTGAAAATGTGCAGACCCTACTTGAAAAACTTTCTGAAATCAATTATTAGCAAACGAAATGTTCATGAGCGATTCAAAAAATCGTCAAAAATCAATAAAAATCGTTATTAAAGTGAAAATTGTAGCATAGATAGAGCATGGCTTTCTCTATTTGCTAGTCTGAAAGCCAACTTTTCATCTGCTCGACATTTAGACGTATTAAAAAAATATGTACTTGAAAAAAAAATATAAAAAAAAATATGTACATTAAATTGAGCGAAAAAAATTAAAAGCATGTATACATCCGACAATTTCTGGACAGTGCGACTCTAGTTTCTCTCTATTTAGCGTCTTATTAGTCAATTGTCCGTTTGGTGAGAATTTCTTCTAATTTTCTCAATGTTTTCTTTCCTAAGTTTTAAGTTACCGGCAACCGCAATTGTTATTAAAAGGTTTGAAAATTCACCAAAAATCAATGACCGCAATGATCAAGTTGAAAATTGGCGCTAATATAGAGCATAATTTTCTCTATTTTCTGGTCTAAAGACTCCCAGAATTTAAACGTTTATGCATTTAAAAGTGAGAGCCTCTAGAGCTGTGGTCTTTTAATAACTGCAAAATGTCCGGGTGTATAAAAAACATATTTTTATCATACAAATGTCCGGAAATTTAGTGGAGTTACACAAGCAAACCGAATTATGATTAATATTGCAGAACCTCACAAAAAATGATTAATATATGGCTACAAGTCTGCAAACAATCTTTGAAAAGATTCAATGGATTTCTCAAACAAGAAACGTTCGGATATGCCGTGATATAAAATTAATTCCAAGTTCAATGAATTCTACCAGTCGTTTGCTTGAGTCTGGAAAAGTAATTAACCATTAAAATATTTACTTCTTCCGACAGTCCGGTATTCACGGCATGTTCTGATTTGAATTTAAATTTGCTTTGACCATGTAAGGTGCGGTTTGCTCGATATTAACGCAATCATGCGAAATTGAGTCTGTTTTTCATTCAGAGCGAGAGTGAGCTGTATAAACAACTAGTTCATTAATTAACTCTTTTTTTTCCGCTCGGGTCAGAATGGCACAATATTTGTTATTCGCAAATCGGCTACTTGTATGTAAAACACGTATTTTGTGGGCGAGAGACAGTCGAAGGCCTTTGGCAGAACGCAAGGTAAAACATCATATATTTATTGGAAATGTAATTGAATGAAAATGTTCGTCGGAAATTGAATTTCGATGGTTTTGATATGATTAATGAATGGTTGGTTTTAACTAAGGTTGTTATATGTTCCATGACGGCTTAAAAGTCTGAAAAACTCATCAGTTTCAAGCAAGGCCAACAAAAGCCTTGGTGTTTGCGATTATTTTGGAAGCTACTGGCTCTTTATAGTAACCGATGGTTCCTGATCATTTTGAAAATTAACAAAGAGACAAATACCTTTTTTTAACGAGTATTTTATAGAATTTTTTTGTATTATCACGGGATAAAGAAGAGATTTGAAAGATAAAGTGCACTAAGTCGTTGCCCTTTTCACGGTACATTTTTGGCACCAAAGCGAGGCACTCGAGATCGTCTGGAAATAGCCATCTTCGACGTCGCGACGCACTAGATAGATGCGTGAAATTGCCTTTGAAAAACCACTTTCT